TAATTTTCTGAAAAGTCGTTTGTCGTTACGGTCAATCGTTGTCGCTGCAGTGTGTCTTGGCCTTAATACTAATAGTCTTAATGTTTGATTTGACCTAATAACTTCACTTCAACACCGTCCAATACACCGCTGAAACACATAGCGCGCACGCCATTGTGCATGCACAAATACACAGTGATATACAGAAAGTAAGAAAGAGTCCGCACAGAAATTCCAGAATGCTCCAATCATTTCACAACACTAGAGACGAAATGCACGTCCAACGGCCATGATATTGGCATCTGTGTGTAGCTGAATGGTCACATAGCAGAATATACGTCTTGCAACCTGGTACCACATACTTTACCCAGAATTATATGAGAAATTCTGCTCGAATTTGCCGCAAATTTCCCATGAAGCCGATTCGTAAATGGGATAAGTACATGAGCAATTAATGGCGGCGCATTGCATTCTGGGAGCAATTCTGCTGCAATTCTGCTCCCAGAATGCAATGCGCCACCAGTAACTATGAAGTGGCTTATTATTGTATCTAGCTCTACTGGTGCAGCCCATTCTCTCCCAACTACAGTGCCAGCGAAAAAAATACACGGGAGCGGCGAGCGATTTCGCTCCCGTCAGCTTTCAAAGCGCTCTGGTAACAACAATTACGAGAGCGAAAATTTTGGAAGCTACGAGAAAAAATCGCTCCCGTGCCGCCGGCAGCGTTACGACCCGTTCCTCAACGTAGACAGCTAGGGTATCCAAAACATCTAGAGCTGCATGAACTCCCTCAACGCATGATTCGCCACACGAACAAAAACTCGCAACAGTCTAAGAAATCAATGTGTTTTTATGACCGCGTAACAATAAGTTTATATATCGCAGGGGTTATTGTGGGAAGTTAGGGCACGACCAGTGACACCTGACACGCACGTAATCAAAGCTGTTTTCTGAATTCGTCACGTAGAAAGTGAACTGTTTTTATTCAGGTAGATATTTAGAAGAAATGTAAACTGTATATACAGGGATGGGAATCTTCCGCGGAAATCCGCGGATTTCACAGTCCCAGGGTCGATTTTGTGAAACGTCTAAATCCGTTGAGAAAATTTTAGGTGGGGGGGGGGTTAGTATGTACACATTTTCATTTTACAGTCCAACAGTACCTTCATTTAATAACATTGTAATATACAGCAGGCTGTAACATTGTAATCCCATTATGCAATGATAGCATATTTGCAAGCGCCAGCATAAATGTGATGTGTATTGTATCAAGCGAACCAGACAATGCGTCTAGACAATACGCCTGTCTGCAGTGTAAGTACTGTGGAGGCGTATGTAAAATGATGAAGGCCTTGTATACCACAGCTTGAGTGTGCAAAATAAATCGAAACGGAATTCATTTCGAGCAGTGTTTTCATGCATTTGACCACTAAATATGGTGAGATTAATTGAGAAGGCAGACACATCTACCATAGCAGAGATCGACAAAGATGTGAGGAACAAGTTTCGCTGGGCTTGGTTAGAAAAATCTGTCACACAGACTCACACTGATTGTCAAAATCGGGAGGAAAACTGAAGAGGTGACGGAGCGGTTGAACGACTATGTCGGAAAGTGCGATGTAGCTGGAAAGGCACAGTGTTTGTACTGCAGTGAATTTGAAACTGCCTGGACAATGAACATCTTATATTATATAAAGGTTAGCCTTTGGGACAGTGTGGAAGTGTACATTAAAATAATTTAGTTTGCAGAATGTAAGTAAATTTTTGTATTGATTATTAATTCTGGTGTTATGATAATGACAGTGCAAGTTATACTCCCTGCAGTGTACTGTAATATGCTCTGTAACAATTCTGTTCTGTATGTGTCTCCTAATGCAATTTTATGCCTTGTAAGTTGTGAAAATTCAAAAACTTCCTGAATCCCCTGACCAGCTAGGCTTCGCCCTGGACCTGGCCGCCCCCCGCTACCCTCCCCGCACCCCCCCCCGCTGACCCCGGCATTTTCAGCTGAAAACCCAAATTTTCTGCCATCTCTGTTATAACTAGAAGGATTCTAGTAACTGGTGTGGGAATGTGCGGCAGCAATGATAGATCTATGCCATGGGGTACCGTCGAGGGGAAAGAAGAACAAACGGAAAGGAAAAACAATCTTACCCAGAAGCTGCCCCCGACAATTCTAGAGATTGAAAATTATTTGACCAACTCTAATTAAGTTTAACATCAAGAGTTAATGAAGACACTATTGTCGTCATTAAACTCCTTGTTATGCGTATTGCTGCTTTTATTTCCAATGGTTATCTTATACTACTATTTTGATTACTCACTGCTACGTAACATAAGCTGACACCAAATGTGTTGTGCAAGGTTCCACCAAACCCGTGGGCAGGTCTACCTTGCCCGGGGCAGGTAGCTCTGAAAATTGCACTTCCTGTTCGGGCCAAGCCCAACGTTGTTTTTTTGAATGGCTAGCACATAACGAGATCTTGAATTAAACAAAACAATTGCGAATGAGACAATCAGTGCATGCAGTGCATACTTTGTACACAACATGCATTCAGCAACATGTAAACCGCGCCTCCGGTTTTTGTCACCATAGGAAGTAATTTACCTCGCGATTTCGCCAAAGCATAATCTTGACTTTTGTTTGAAACACCTTTACGATAATTAGACACAATTTCTGAGAACATTATTAGAGTCGGTTGCATCAAAATGATGAAAAATTTTAACAAAATATGCTATGAAAAAGCTAGCTCTGGCAAGCTTTAAAATAGCTCCCGTAAACAAATTACGAGAGCTCTTTTTTTCATACAAAATCAAAAAAGGAGCTCTCGTAATAAAAAAAGTATTTTTTAGGCTGTACAGTGCTATACACGTTATAATACTGGGTATAGTATTAGTAATAATATATATATACTCTTAGCTCCAAGAAACGGTCGTACATCAAGAGACCGTGTACATATTGACCGTTGACCGTTGTATATGTGTATATTGATGTTAGTCACACAGCCTGGTGACAGTCGGGCTAATATACTCTAAGACTAAGCTAATAGCTATGTCAGGAAGCTGAGAAAAATGTTGACAGCATGGCTGGCAAGGCTGTCGTCCTTGAACATTTAAAAAAATGCTGTAGCCGGCAAACATAAATCTGTATTTCTTTAACTGGGCCAGATGTAAATTCACTTTTAAGTCACAATAACTTGACCATATTGGCCCTTTAATAAAGGCTTTTCTTTATTGAACGCATATATACGAACACACGACTAAATTGCACATGCATGTTGGTGCTCCTACTTGCAGGGAGAGGTAAACGGTGCCTTGGTGGGCGGGCAAATTAATTCAATTATTGTGTTAAATTACCTTCCAACGTATTACTGTAACGATTATGTATATCTTGTTGTGTTTCAGTCATAATAAATAATATTTATACTAGAAGTTGTGAGTTGACGTACTTTCTCCTTACAGCTACTCAGGGGTAGAACTTAACTTTTGAACACGAGTCAACGGTCTCCTACCCTCAAAAAGAAGGAGTCCGCGGCAAAAATGAGCGGAGTTCGCAGCTCTGAAGTTAAAAATTATAGATATTAACAATAACGCATACAGTGCTTATTGGTTTAAGATTCATGCAGTTGCCCACAATCTGCCAAGTTTTCTTTGGACATTAGCTGAAAAAATACGCGTTATCTCCGGAGGCGCGATGCTTGGCAACAAAATGTTCTAGGAGTCGCATGAGACTCCCCTGCCATACTACAGTAAAAACCCGCGTATAAAAACATATATTCTTAAGAACATGTTAGGCTAAAAATTTCCCATTTAGACCCCTTTACATACAGGCAACCTGTCATTTAGTGCTAAGATTTTAAAGTAGGTCCTATAACTTTTTCCAGTGCAGATGAAGAACTTCAAAAGGAATCACAGGTAAAATAAAAAATGCATGAGGCTAACAATATCGAGCAAATAACAATGCCAAATGCCAATGCCATGCCAATGCTGCAACCAATAACAATTACATATCATTATAATATAATATTATTATATATCTATATATATCATACTAATATTATCTCAACCAATAAAAACACAAGACATGGCAACAACTAAACTTCTCCATATAGACACCTCTACACAATAACACTCCACTGTACTCCGGTAACACATGCATCACCAGTCCCCTAAGCCGCGCGCTAGCGCCGGTTTCAGCTAGTAACATATTAAAAGTAGAAACAATTACAGAACCTATTAAGAACCTCTTTGAGCCTAATTTTTCAGTAGCTACACCATTTATATACAGAACATGTTGAGGCTAACTTGGAAAAATCTATGTTCTTATACGCGGGGTTTTACTGTATGTCAAATCAGGGAGTTCGACAGTAAATCAGGGAGTATTTGACTCCGGGGCTCCCGTTAATTTCGCACCCTGGCTACTAGTCCATAGCTCAACACCAACACCATACAACCCATGTGGTGGCAGAGGAAAACCGTCCACCCTCCTTGGGAAAAAGTTGGTCTGGTGTATGTACAGTTTGTCTCAGGTCAGAGTGAACCCAATTGATGCAGATTTTAACCGTTCGGGTGAATCACTAGTGATAATAGAGTTTGGTAAAGAGTTCTAGTTAATGACAGACCATGGTCTATAAGAGTTTTTGAAGATATTTGTATACAATATCAATACAACTTTTGTCATTACTACCAGCAGATCCCATCTGTTAGTGAGCCAGGAAGTGACGTGGGCTGAAAAAAAGGCAAGGAAGCGATTCACATCTATCTAGCAGGAGACACAGCAATAGGAATGTCACAACGCGGTGTCCCAGCAGGTCCTAGGACCTCGCTGGGAGACAAGATGCGACAGATGACAGAGCAGCAACGTTTGATAGAACAGAGGAAGCAAGAGATAGAGAGAAAGCTGGAGCAGTCGCCGGCGCAGCATCCAAACAAGCAGCCCATCGTGACGGGAAAGATGTGAGTTTCCTTATTCACTCACCTTATGTTAACACGTTCGCCGCGGATCCACGAGTCAGCTCGTGGGAACAATCAAAATGCATCCCCGCGGATCCACGAGTCAGCTCGTGGATAGATTATTGGATTTTGTTACTCTGATTTCCAACAGATGGCAGGCATTACCTACCAAGAAATTAAACAGGGACAGTCTATATTTATATTACTCCAGTCTTACATGAACTAAAGAATACAATGCTTTACCGTTGATTCGAACGTGAAAAATATTTTATGTAGTTTTGGAATGCGACTTAGAAATTATAAGCAGTTGCTCCTGTTGTGATATTGTATATAATTTATGATGTAGGGATGGGCGATATATTGAAACTTGTACGGGTAAAACAGATGAAAAGTTTGAGAGACAGTCCAGCGTGTCAGGGAGGTTGAGAATGAGAGCTGGAAAGATTGCGCAGAAAAGAAGAACATCTAGAGATAATCAATGCACTTACATTGCTAACAACAATATGTCTACACGCCTCAGGTGTAGGCTTCATCCTCACACCAAGTGGCAGATAATTAAATTGATTTTAAAATTCTAAATGTGATACATAACTTTATATGTAAGCAGACGTTGCAATTTCAAGCTATCGTCGTACTACCAAAGCGTAGCACTTGAGCGGCCATCGCAGGCAGGACGCCGATAGCTTGAAATTGCAACGTCTGCTTACATATAAAGTTATATATGGCATTTAGTTAATTATCTGCCACTTGTAAATGATAATGTTGCAAATTACATAAAAGGGTGTACGTCTGCTGTCGATCCACAGGTTCGGAGCAAAGCGGCAAAAGGTCTCTGCGATGCCACAGGATCTTCCTTTAGCTGGCATCCACATCCCACCGCCTCCCCCAATCCAAGGTCCAGCCGAGCCGGCGGCGCAGAGCAAGGTTGTCCCGTTCCAAAATGACGGCAGTTTTCTCGAGACATTCAAGAAGATGTACGGTGGTGCAAAAGAAGGTGAGCGGTGGCAATCTCTCTCTTACCTTGCACGTTTGTGTGTGTCTGATGCTTCTGGGATAAAACCAGTGCCATACATTTCCTCTATTGCATTCAGTGCTAGAATCATCCTAGCTTAGCAACTAATCGGGATAACTGTTTACGTACCGTGCGGCTGTCGTAACACAGAGAAGTTTGAGCAGAAGCACAATTTCAATATATACAATATGTAATGTATAATATATATACATAATTCCAATACAAGTACATGTACTGAAGACAGTCTTTTTCATGGAGAAAAAATCTGATAAATGCAATAGTGTTTAGCAGTTAAAATAATAAAATTTAGGAGTGATACAGTACAAAGCCTGTATTTGCTGATCATGTTTTTTTAAATCTATTTCAGAAGCTTGTCCAGCAGCTCCTGTAAGCAGCAAAACTATTCCTCTAGGTAAGATCGCTATGGTCACCCTTAAGTAGAGTAGTAGAGTAGCCTGTGGGCTAACGCTCCATTAGGAGTGTTCCCAACTTTGATATCATTAATGATTAATGATTAATGATTGATAATCCTAACCCTAATCCTAACCCTAACCTAAATGACATTAAACCACAAACTAATATATGACCATATATATATATTATATGTTATTATGACCATTAATGACATTAAAGTTGGGAACACTCCTAATGGAGTATCACCCCAAATGTGTTAACAACACATAATAAATACACAGCACACAATAATAACACCTGTTTTTTTATGACTTACCGCAAGTTAGGTTTAACATATAGTATTTTATAAAACTTTAGGGCCAAGGGAATCTCAGACAGAATTCCTAACATCACAGCAGCGGTAAGTAAATCTCACCAGTAATAGATGAAAATGTCTTTCTTTAAATGAAATCTCTTATTGAAGTCTTTACTGCTAGTATTACATATGTACAGATATGTTTTTGTAATATTAAGGTTCATCCTCACAGATGTTTCCTGTGGTCCTGGATTGTGTATAATAACCTGTCCTAAAACTTGTGCGTAACAATATGGTTGTTGTTGGCATTGATGTGAATAGGTCCGGTGAAGTGAAACTGACTGATGTATTTGATTTGGAGGATGAGAGCTCTGATGTTGCCGCTGATGGTCGCTCAGCTAAAAGGAAAGGTAAGCCACAGGAAAATTGCAACAGTTGCTAGGGATAACAAATAGTTTGTGTAGAATTGCCAGATATTATCTATGCTTTATAGAAAGGCCAGCTTGCTTGCTATATATTCAAACATTACCATTGTTTGCTGGTAGTGATATGCAGTGGCTGATCAGTCAGTACACAAGACCTAGTAATACCATGCAAAAGCTAGATATGCTACGTAATAAGTGGTAATGTCATGTAATGGCTCATAATGCTACATAATGGCTAGTAATCTCATATGATAGCTCGTAACACCAGTTAATATCTGATAAGAAACAGTAGTTTTCTCTCATCAATCATCACAAACACGATGCCCAAAATTGTGTGCTACTCTGGCACTCCGTTGCCCAGGTTCGATCCGTACTAGTGCAATAGATCCACCCTAAGATTTTCTTGCTCTGCGTCTATATCGGCACGCAAAACACCAGCGGGCTCTCCTACTGCTAAATGGCAGTTGGAGGGTTTTCGTGCATAGGCAAGCGAGGAAGAAACGATGGTAGGCAGTATTGCGATTTCGACAGCGCGGTCAAGGATCAAGTACTTAAAAAGTGCTTCTAGTCTCTCCACTAGAGGACGGTGAGCTCCGTGGTATCATTGACAAGCTGGCCGAGTTTGTGGCGGAGGGTGGAGCAGAGGTAGAGGAGGCAGCCGTAAAGAGCAACAGAGACAACCCGGCATTCTGGTAAGCGTTACCCCTGTCACATTCAGTGAATGGATGGCTGCGTCATGTTAATTTCTGAAAGTGGAACAGTGAAATTAGGTGCTGTCTCCTTGTAAATTGTTGCAGGGGTGTGCACTCATCTCCGTCATAGACTGTCTTTGAAATATCAGGGGAAGTCGCCCTCAATATTAAGCACCATCAGATTCTGCTAACTGCAATTGATGCTGTTTACACCAGTGATGTGAAACTACCTCATGTTGTTAGAGTGGAACAGCCTATAGTTTGTTAATGTTCAAATAAAATACCAGTCTTTGGAGCAGGGTATTAGCCAGGAATGAGTATTGTGGGAGTGCAGAAACAATATTTGGGAGTGCAATTTTTTTGTATGTGTGTCAATGTACACGGCTTTAGATCAATATTTTAGGCCGTGCTACACATTTTTGGCCGTGCAGTTTCAAAACTGACCGTGCAAATCACGGCTGCACGGCTCGCTGGCTAATACGTTGCTTTGGAGATTAAATTCATTTTTTCTTACACTTTATTGTTTTTTTGCAATCATGCCGTGCTTTCAATTGAATTTTGTTTGCTGATTCCAGGTTCTTGTATGAAGAGAATAGTAGAGCTCACAAGTATTATAGGCAAAAGGTTGAAGAACTGAAGGAAGAGAAAGGTAACTAGTTATGGAATCGTGGATAAAATATGCAATGATTACTACATATTATTCAATTAATACTCCATGTATATCTCTTAGGCTATCATGTGAAATTTACAGCTATGGTCTGTAACAAAAATTATTAAACATGCAATCATTCTGTGAGAAGGTACTTCCATTAGGCTATTTATTTCCATCATTAAAGGCCTCAAGAAAAAGCGGAGAAGTCGATGGGGAGAATCGGAAGGAAATAGCGACCTGGCTCCCCCTGGTGTCGCTAGCATAAGCGGTGGGTATGCTAATGACTTGTATGATAAACCAAGTTTGTTTAGGAACTGTGCCCAATTAGGCCGTGATCACTTAAACCGATCAATTGCTGCTTCTTCATAACCTCAGGTCTGCCGGGGCTTACGGATTTGTCAGTCTGCAAACTATGCACTATCAAATTTGAGGTAGCAGTGCCACGACTATGACCTGAAGGGTGCAGCACCTGTCTGTGGTACATGTTCTACACAAAGCGTACAGTGCTAAAAAACAATTGTGCGACTTAATCTTTTGACCTTTGTTTTGCCGTAGCGGAAACCAAAGAAAAATCAAATTTAGCGTTACTTCCTCGAAAACATATTGATTACCAGTGATTATCGATAGTGTCGTGATAAACACCGAAACTGGTCCATACTGTGGGTTTGCATTGTGTCTGCTGTACACTGTGGGTAAACCAAAACGGAACGTGTTTAAATGTGAAAAATTATAATGGGATGCATTAATATTCACTCCTGATAGCACTAGGGGCAGAGGCAGCAGCAGCAGCAGCAGCAGCAGCAGCAGTGGTACCACCACCCCCGGCCCATCCGTGGAGCGTCGGTGCACGAGGGTTCAGCATTCCGGCACACGTCAACATGGTCGGCAGTTCAGAACTGTCTGACGCCCAGCGGCGGCAGATCTGGGAGCAGCAGCAGGTACCTGACCATTCCTACCGTGAGCGGAATTCACGATTTCTACTCTTGATAACATGCTTGTGTAATTTATTGGTTAATAATACACATACACAAGCACTCACACGCACAAGCACACCTACACAGATGCAGATAGGCAGGTAATAGAAAGTTCATGCCTAGAGTTAGCTTTAATGTGCTTAGACAGAATGAAATGCTCTGAAGGGAGAGAAGTAATGGAAAATTTGTGAAAGGATGAAACTTCGATACAGACAAAATGAAGCTTTACGATTAGCGACAGAACAACAGCGTTAAAAGCTGCGCGGACAGAATGATATGCTCTGACAAGCAGTAGCAGTGGCCGAGAAGCGAGTGAGTGAAGTTTCTGCTGGCTTCTGCGTAGATGAGCAAGCTGTTTGAGCAAATGAAGGCGCGGAAGAAGGCCCTGGAGGATGCGGCGCGGCAGGGCAAGCCCCGGTACGAGTACGACTCTGACGAGGAGGTCGACGGTGGAACGTGGGAGCACAAGCGCCGCATGGTGGAGATGGAGGCAACTAAAGGTAAGGTCTGACCAGGCAGTGCCTAGTGTTCTCAACGCGCTTGTAACAGCGCGAGTACACCGCAACGCAACATGATCTGTTGTTATCACGATGTCATATTTCTATTACAGTGATATATTCTCAGTGAACATTGATACATTGTATTAATTCCAAACACCAATGCATTGTACTTCCTGTGGGCACTCGTACAGTGTATTTATAGTGGGCAATGTGGAGTCATCAGCACACTAGTGCTTCATCTGGCAATTTCGGGCCTATAGCAAGCACTAAATTTCGGAAACCATAAGTAAAATTTAATGTTTATAGATGACCACATCACTTTCATTCACTCGTATTTTGATATTGATTCTTGGATGGAAGGGTCATGACCCTGACGGCTGCCAATTAGACATGCCCGTGTGTTTGTGTGTTTGTTTGCACTTGGGTTCTCGCTCTTTCCTGCAGAATACAACACATGGATTACGGACATGAACAGGGGGCGCCACCACATAGGCGACTTTCTGCCTCCGGACGAGCTGAAGAAATTCATGGAGAAATTCACGGTAAGCTTACAGCCAGCTAACACGGTGTCGACCGGATAACCCGCTGGGTCACCCGACTATCCCTGGGTCATCCATTACTTCCAAGTCACTTGCCACCGGGATACCAACTACGTGTAGACCAGTGGTTCTTAACCTTTTTTGAGGCATGGACCCCTTTGAGAATCTGGTGAAAGCTACGGACCCCTCCTGAGAAAAATGCACATAAGCACACAAACACAAAAGTTTGCATACGCCTGGTTCACGGACCCCCTGAAGCCCATCTACGGACCCCAAATGGGTCCATGGACCACAGGTTAAGAAGCCCTGGTGTAGACTGTGACACATCTGGCTGCACACAAAATACAAAAGTAGTATCGTGTTGCAGACGCCAAAAAAGCACACTCAAAAAACACTCAAAATCTATTAAAATAAAGTGTGTTGAAATTTAAAATCTCCATCCTGTGGCAGATGGCCCATCACGTTTCCCCCAACCAAATCTAACAAGTGCTGCCTCTTGGCCGCAATAACCCTGGCAGGTTCGTGAGCTAGTGGTGAGGAGAAGCAATAACTCGCTCTCACGTCGCACGTACCGTTGACAGGCTATCCAGGAAGGAAGGGATCCTGATCTCTCCGACTACAAGGAACACAAGCTGACAGATACGAACGTCGGCTACCAGATGCTTCAGAAGATGGGCTGGGAGGTAGGCAAGGGTCTTGGCTCCGAAGGCAAAGGCATCGTCGATCCCATCAACAAGTACGTATGGCGGTGGTGCAGCATGAGATTATGTTGCTACTCTAACTGCCACCGGTATTGCGGGTAGTGGGTGGGGGGAGATCGAACCATTATTTTGGTTGTAACCCTGAAGAATGGTGTGTCATGCGGTTTGGCCCCGATAGTGAACTGTCCCTAACATTTTGTTTTGGGTATATGAGCGTACAATACTCCTAAGCTTTAGCATCGAGGCATCCATGGTGTTGTGACCCCACAAGCAATGTAGAGGTAATTTCTGCTTCCATGAACAATCGATCAGTACTACACCTTTGAGGTTTGCCATTGAATGTCCGTGTTGATGCTCGGAGTGACATTCTGTCTCGAGCCACAAGCAGAGTTCACATCCATGCATTAGTATTCCAAGACGGTGTAAGCCTCACCGAAGAATCCTATTGTTACGCAGCAATACTGATAGGTATCGCAACGATCGGAAAAATATTCAGAGTACCGTCATGTATTGGCTGTTTGTTGTCACGATTATCCATAAGTGTCCTGTTGCCACGATACGTTCAGGCAATTGTTGTTAACAGTGAGTGAATTGCACGCTGTAGGGGGCAACAGCCCGTGGAAAACATGGGACTGGGGCACAACCGCCCCGATAACCTTGCCCAGGGAGATGACGAGTTTGAAGCCTACCGAAAACGCATGATGCTGTCCTACAGATTCCGACCCAACCCTCTGGTGAGTCACATCTCAATGTTCCTCTCCATCTCACTCCCTCTCCCTATACAGGTCCATCTTCTTCCCTCCCCATTTCCATCTACGTCTCCTTCCCTCTCCACCTCAGTCTCCTTTTTCCATCTCCATTTATGTCTATTTCCATTTACATCTTCCTCTTCATCTCATTCCCTCTCAGTTTCCACCTTCATCTCCTGTCTTTGTCTTGCTCCACATCTCACTCTCCAACTACGGCTCTCTCTCAGTCTCACTCTCCATCTCACTGTGTTGATGTTGAGGCATTCTTAATCCTCGGTGAGATCTGTTGAAGCATACATTTATGCTAACCTCTCAAACTATTAGTTACTATAACTATAGTTATTGTAATCATTGCTATTAAATGTCAGATGCTATTATTCATAATAAATTCATTTTCATTTTTCAATTTTACCATAAAACCAAAATTTTATTAAAAATTTTCTCTGCTAGTCAGGTGTCCGCAAGTCGGGTCCACAAGTCATCCTATGTTGTGCTGTTTGTTAGATGGCAGCTGTGCTTTACATAACTGTGTCATAACTGTTGTGACTGTGACTGTTAACGATACTCAGTACCGCGTGCTTGGAGCGTAGAGGACCGACACTTCCTCTTTGTTGCAGAACAATCCACGCAGACCCTACTACTAGCCACCGGAGGTAGTCGGGGACTGGCTCGTAATTGCTAGGGGGCACCGGTGCTGTCGCGCGACACCTCCTCGGCTCGTCGCGTCGCGGCTAAGATGTTGTTGTACTCGTCACCCGTCCATCGTTGTATCGACGTGTCGCACCGGCGAGATGAGGTGTGGGGTGAAGTAGGTGGCGGCAGAACACTGCTGTGGCATGACACCACGTGGGAGACTGCGACTTGGTCCTGTGGTAGTGTATGGGCGGTGCACAGTAGATGGGCAAGACTGACGGGCGGACACGTCCACACATACACAGACAGCCACACACAGACGCACGCACGCAGATGCACATATACACACGCACGCACGCAGATGCATATATACACACGCACGCACGCAGATGCATATATACACATGCAAACAGACAGAGATGTGCACACACACACAGACACTCATGGTACCATACATAGACCCACACGCACACACCCTCGCACACACGCAAGTGCGCGCACACATCCACGTGAATGCTATTTCATTGTACAGAGAGCAAGTGAACTGTTACTGTGCTTTATTTTATGCAGGAGTGCAGGCTAAAAATGCTCTGAATCTTCGTTTAACTTCAGAAGATAATGTGGGTCTACGTTCTAGAGACTGAAAACCATAGCCGTAGAGCGATGAAAAATTCCCCGAGGCGTGAACTTGGCTATGTAGTTAGACATAGCAACAACACCTACTATAGTGTACTGTGTATATCAACACAGTCACGATAGCATATCGTAGCATAGTCCTACCTCGTAATGCTAAGGCGGCACTGACGGCAGTAGTGAATTCACGTGTATTGTATGCTCAACTAAGGTAAATGGCACATCATCACCTCTCGCTTTATGTCATCTATCACAAGAGTGCCATCTGTCCCATCTCTATATCTTTCTCATCGGGAGACCTTCTTCCCGGAAACCTGTGCCTGAAGCAACACATTACCTGCAGATATAAGGTGTGCTCACGATAACTACATGTCTATGCTACACCTTACGCGTGTTTTTAAGGTGTTTTTGACGGTTACATGATGATGCCACTGCACCTTACGTGTGTTTTTAAGGTGTTTTCGACTGTTACATGATGATGCCACCGCACCTTACGTGTGTTTTTACAGTGTTTTCGATCCTTACATGATGCCACTGCACCTTACGTGTGTTTTTTAGGTGTTTTTGATTCACACATTAATGCTGACAATATACCCATGTGTTTTTAAGCAAATTTTACTGGTATATGCCGATAGGTCACCTTACATGTTAAAGGTGCTTTCTCTATAATTACTTACTGATAACACACCTTGTGTTGGATGTTTTCACCTAAAATATGCTGATACCACACCTTTGCTGCAGTGAAAAGGAGTTATCACTATAATTGTGTGAAGTTACTACACTTTAAGCGTGTTTCTAAGGTGTATTCCGTATAATTACATGCTGACACTACACTTTCCATGTTTCTAATGCGTTTTCACTATTATAACGTGCGGTATAAACCTGTTTTAAGTGGTTTACTCGATTGCTCGTGTACTCAGCAGAACTGTGACTTTAATGAAGAAATGTGACTTGATAAATAAAGGTGCGTTCTATTCCCTACAGATTTTTTTGTCAAATATGTTCTAGTATCTTATATTCACGTTTTAGTTACAATGTCGTTTATTTATTCTTTTGTTCGAATGGATTAGATATTTACGTATAACGTTGCTAAGGGTTAAATATTGCTCACATCTTTATGTTATGCCCTGCAGTGATCTTATACAATGCGTTATATTACGTACACATAGTCTGCATATACATAAACTCTTGTGCATACATCTGATCAGGATTGAATATAAAAATGAACGTTGTTTTCATATACATGTATTTCAAATCTATTTATATATACAATGCACATATATATATATATACGTATATATATGCTATATATGCGAGTATGATGCAGTGACACCATAACGTAAGCCTCTCGCGTTCGTTCATCAGTTTATATATAACTGAATGTCAACGATGGTTCGACGTAGATTGGACGACGTAGAAAATGTACGTTAATTTCACTAACATGAGGGCGAAGTGTATAGGCCTGAACCATATTATATGGTATTTATGATCGCGGAAGTTATTATTTCTCGCGATAATAAAGTATTCAAATAGCAACGCCTCTATATCAATCAGGAACTCTGATAGGCAAATCAGATTCACACATCCTGTATCACATTGGAAGCAAACATTATACGCACGTACGTGGATTTAATACGAACGTATGCCCGTGCGTGTGTATGTATAAGATTGTAGGAATTCAGATAAGCGCCCTTACGCATGCAAGGTTCCCAGCTAGAAGCAGCGCTAGCGTAACTGATTTGGGTACGCTTTCAGTAAATATAGTTCCGTTTCGAAATATTGTCGTATCGTACACGATGGATCGGCGACAATTTAGAACCTATTTAAAACATCGATTCTCTCATATGCGTCAACCAGGCGTCCCACTGGATACAATTGCGTATAGGCTCGACGCAATGTACTCAGCGCTGCAGGTGCGCATGGTACGAGCGAGTCCATAATAGAAAAATTCTAGATAATTGAAATTATCTATAGAAATTATCCATAACGGAAAATTCTAATAATAGAACTTTTCTATTATGGACTCTTGGTACAATCCATAGATTTGCGCAGTCTTTTGGTATTGCAATTTATTGCGCGTCTATTTATTAAATAGAAATTATCTATAGAAATTATCTATAATAGAAAATTCTAATAATATACATTTTCTATTATCGACTCGGGGTACAATCCATAGATTTGCGCAGTCTTTTGGTAATGCAATTTATTGCGCGTCACTGGGAGCTTCGTGTGTAGGTGGTTCTTCCTTTCAATTGCCCCGGGTTATTGCTAAATCCGAGGAAGGTCTCTCGGACAACTCTCTGAAGTCTGTGCAAGTCGCCAAAACGTCTACGATAAATCCGCTTCACCAAGGCTAAGTAGTATAAGCGATATAGGCAGAGAGAGCTAGACTGGTTGTGTTTACGATGTGGGTGATAAAGCACACAGTCATGTTTTAGTGCGGTCCGAGCCGCGGTATTTTACGGTGCATATATTGCGAAACCCCTAATTGGTCGGCTAGTTATCTGACGTTATCAACCGCATTTCTATTGTACTCGTGTGGTTACATTCGTCACATTGATAAGGGCTAGAGCGTACGTAGTTCTACAAACCACAGCTATCAGTTATTTATATTATATGCTACGATGGGTGTTAGCTTGGTGGAATCCCAGCCGGTGTTTACTGAGTCTCTGCTGAGCTGTCCGTAAATTCTAATCTCATGGACGTGCCACACAGTTGACGCGCTAGACAACGTGCGCACGCGTGTGCTGAGTAAAGGTAAAATTAATGACTCCCCATACACGCGCGCGCGCGTGCATATGTACACTCATAAACGCTCTCCTCTGAAGACAAACGAGCGAACACAACTAGGCTGCGACTACCGATCTGTAAAACGGGAAGAACCTCCGTATCTTGTGCGTGAAATCAACGACTTTACTGCAATTTCTCGCGCAGTATACCAGCGACTTTCAATGTGGTATAATTCTTCGTGGCGACAACGATGACGATACTAGAGCCTATAATTACAGGGGGTCTCGTCGTATCGGCTACGTTGAACTTTTGCTGGTTAGCCAGCAGTTTGGTCGAGCGGCTACTGCTGCTGTCCAAGACATCGCCGCCAATTGCCACCGCTGCTTCTGCCGCCGTTCTGTAAGTATAAGTGATGAACAAGCACGCACGCATGTATGAGATATAAATTTGTGGTTGCATAACACGATAAATATCCTAATTTAGTTTAGATCTTATCAGAAGTACACTATATCAAATATTTATCTCAGGTACTCCGATGTCAATTTTTTTATTTTGTCGTTATCGTTGTTTTTAATCTACGTTAGCCCCTCCCAGGTGGGGTACATGTTCCCTTGATCCCTTAATGTTTATGCATTTTCTCCCTTGTTCCTCATTAATAAAATAACTTAATTGTTCCTTCTTATTAAAAATAATTTCTTTCCCAATTTTCTGAGACTGTTTACAATAAACGTTGAAGTATTTCAGTGTAATTTCAACATAGTATGCTGTAGGGATCATTAGGGTCCACAATAAGTCATTTTTCACTTCAGCCTTCTTCCTTCCTTCTTTAGCGAGGTTCTACTGCACCAAACAAATATGGGGAACAGTGGTAAATATTTTTGGGGATAAAGGGAACTGGAAAATAATTTTCTGGATCGTGGGAACACAAGTTTCTACTCACGTGCTTCTTCACACGTGCCTTCTTCCTTATGTTTTTAACTTGTCCACGATCCAGAAAATTATTTTCCAGTTCCCTTTATCCCCACAAATATTTACCACTGTTCCCCATATTTGTTTGGTGCAGTAGAACCTCGCTAAAGAAGGAAGGAGGAAGGCTGAAGTGAAAAATGACTTATAATTGTGGACCCGTATGGTCCCTACAGCACACTATGTTGAAATTACCCTGAAATACTTCAACGTTTATTGTAAACAGTCTCAGAAAATTGTGAAAGAAATCACAAAGATAAAAAAATCAGACTTCCCTTGTTCCCAAAAATCTAATCAGCAGTTCCCTTGTTCCCAAAAATCTAATCAGCAGTTCTCTTGTTCCCTGAAAACAATTCGACAATATCCCCTGTTCCCTGAAAGTTAACGCTCCTGTTCCCTAAAACCCTTGAGAGGGGCTCCTATGTTGGTCGTTCGGTGTGTGTGTGTGTGTGTGTGTGTGTGTGTGTGTGTGTGTGTGTGTGTGTGTGTGTGTGTGTGTGTGTGTGTGTGTGT